TATATATTTTTATTATGAATTTTTTAAAAGGACTTGTAAAAGAAAACTTGTCCTTTTTGGGAAAAAAAAAAACTTTTAAAAAAAAAAAAAAAGAAATTTTTTTGCCCAACAAAATTTTCAAAAATTTTGTTTAAACATTATTGTCCGAAAAAAAAATGTTTTCCAATTTTTGTTACAACAATTTTTCAAAAACAAAAAATACCTGCCCCACCCTGGTTTGGTGGGAAACTTACTTTGCTTAAAGCAAAGTTTTGTTGTTGGTGTTTCCTTTATTTCATGTTTTTTTTTCTATTTCTTTTTTTTTTCTTCATGGCTATATTTAACATGGTTGTTTGGTCTATTGTTTAATTTTTTGAAACCCCTTCCCCAAAATGGTAACTGGTGTGTGTATTGTGTGTGTGTGTTTTAATTACCATTATTTCTTTTTTTAAAAAAAAAAAAAACAAAAACAAAAAAACCTTCTGGAATTTGGCCGGGGCGCTGTTTTGGGCTCGCACGGCCTGTTAAAAATTTTTTTTTCCTTTTTAGCACTCTTGGGGGAGGCTGGAAAAAAAAAAGGCGGGCAGAGATTCTTCAAAGGGTCAGGGGAGTTTTTGCAAAAAAAAAAACCAAAAAAAAAAGCCTTTTGGGGGCCAAAAGAAAGCGCAAAAAAAGAAAAAAACCCCGTTCTCTTACTGACAAATTAAAAAATTAAAAAAGGAAAACAAAAAATTTTTCATTTGGGCCAAAAAAAACTTTTGTTTTAAATAATTATTAAGAAAAAGAAAAAAGGAAAGTTAAAAAAAGGGCCGGGCAATGTTTTTGTTTTGGCCCAAAACCATTGTTTTTCTTTTTTGTAAGGGTTCGGCCAAGCTTTTTTTTTTAAAACTCGGGAAGGGCTGAGGCAGCCATGGATTGGTTTGAGGCCCAGGAGTGTTAGAAGGTTTTTTCTGTGGAGGCTAAGGGTGATTTGTTCACGCACTTTCAACTTCTTTAAGCCCTTGGGGCGAAACAAAAAGAAAAGCGAGGGGACTTTCTGTCTCAAAAAAAAAAAAATAAAAAAATTAAAAAAAAAAAGATTAAAAAAAAAAAAAAAAAAAACAAAAAAAAACTTTTTTAAATTTTGTTTTTACAAACATCTTGTCAACAAGGTAAAACAACTTGATTTAAAGAATTCTAAATTTTGAAATTCTTTTTAATTTTTGGTTTTGAAATTTTGATTAAAAAAAAAGCAAAAAAGAAGTTTTAATTTATTATCAGGTCAAAGCAAAAAACTTAATTGAAAAACCTTTTGGCAAAAAGGCAAAAAAAAAACAATGGCCCACCCCTTTAAAAAAGATTTCAAATTTGTTTAACTTTGGCGTAAATTATTAAAAGCCATGCGCCTTAAGTTTTTCAATTTTTTCCCAGATTTGGTTTTTCTCTGGGGCTTTGTCTTTTTTTTGCTTTTTGTTTTA